ATGTCACACTGGCAAATTTACTTGATTTTTCCACTTCTACTAACTCATAGACTCATTGAGAGTATAAATTCAGGACATAGAAAACACTCAGTATAACAATAAACATGAGGTTTAGCACTAGTCATAGCAGCACTGTTATTTTTAAATCAAAATGTAACTGATATTTTCTTTAGTAAATAACTCTCAGGCTTGAACAATATATATTTTAGTGTGACCTTCTGGTTGAGGTAAATTATGTCATAGAAATATCAAGTTTTATTTGTAATTTCAAGGATGCAGAAAATCTATAGCTTTGATGAAGTAGAGAGTCATCCAAGACTTTATGGTTGGTCCCAAGTCCTTTCCCACATCTGACATGGAGTCTTTTCCCCTAAATAACAGTTGAGGTTTCTGAAGAAATTGTAGGCCACCTCAAACAGCAAGGAGAATGTTTACATTATGAAACACATCCACTTTATGTCTTTCAAAAACATAAACCTATAGATTACTGATTTATTACAAGTAATCTTCTGGCCAAGGACATCCTGCTATGGACATTTTATGGATGAGGCCTCTTCCACCAAGCAAAAATCATTATTTATTGGAGGTCCTTTTGAGGTTATTTGGCAGTCACCTGTCTTTGTTCCTGCCCCACTCGTAAAGAAGGCACCTCCACAAGGGGGATGAATTGGTTGCAAACCATCTATTTTAACTCTTCCCTCCCTAGTTCCATTAAAAATTATTGGAAGTAACTACAATATACCCTGTAGTTTGATCTGTGTTTTACATCCGCCTTTGTAGCACAGCCCATAATTATCAATGTCTCATCTTCTGGTATAATTCCAAGACTATATTGTTCGTAAACTATTTGGTTTTCAACATATAGCCTTCCTTGTCTATTTAAAACCCATAAAGTCACTTATATTTACTAGTAGCTGCCATTTTAACTATCTTCATATGTAAGAATACTGTAACTCTAACTCTTCTAGTAGTTTCACTGGCAATGCATAGATATAGATAAAGAATTTTTAAAAGTATGTCCAAGGCCTTTTAGGATAGATTACATTCACTAGGTTGTGCCCTCATTGCAACACATTGTAATTATTTCCTTAATTGCTTGTTTTTCTTAGACCGTAATATCAAAAGTGTATCTGTTTTGTTTACCTATGCAGAATCTGGCATAGTTCCTGACATAAATATGAATGAACATCCTCTCAAGTAACAACTTTTGAAAAATTAATTATAATATTTCTTTTTTATTGTTATCACTAGTTTCCACAAACCTGGAGACTATCTGTAGGAATGTACAATGAAGCAAATTACAGAGGAGAAAATATCTTAATGCCTAAAATTTGCTGCATGTTGAGTTTTCTCTCCAGTCCAACTTGCAATATACTTGAAATCCAATCTCAAATGAAATTTAGTTATCAATCAAAGATAAGTATGCAACAAGAAATTTGGTGTTTTAAATGAAAGTAGGACCTGCTACCGTGTTCTCCCCAATTAGCAAGAGGAATCCCTCTTTGACTTCCCTTCCTAAGTTTGTTTCTACTTACAAAAAAAGTCTTTCTTTTGTCAAGATTCTGGTTTTTAAGTTACCCTTTGGCTATGTGTACCCATAACCACGAGGTTTAGAAACAGATAATGGTGGTAATGCAGTTACACTGTATTAGAAGAGGGGAAGAAGAGTTTTATTTCTTTATGTTTTTATTGATGGGATAGTTTCATTTTGAATTTTGAATATTTGTTATTATAAAAAAAGTGGTTTTCCATAGGGAAGGCCATGTGTAACATTGATTATGGATCTCGACAGCATAACTGTGGAAAGATGTGAATTTTCCTTAGTGATTGGTAGGTTTTGGAATTTAAGATCATGGTTTAGATTCTTACATGTTTTGTTTCATTCCATTAATTATCCACGACATTTTCATGGATGAAAATCAAAGAGACTGTTTTTAATTTTGAGAAACTCAAAATTAAAAACAGTTAACATTGTTCTTGCTGAAGTGCAGCATCATCAAAGCCATTAAAGAATAAATGATCTACGACAGTAATCAACGCTGTGTTTGGAGCAGGTGCAATTTTTATTTTACTGCAAGATACACAATCTTATATACAATGCATAGTTGTCACCTTCCAAAAGTTCAAGATAAAAATAATACACAATAAAGAATATATGAGTATACTTTTGTTTCAGAGAAGAAAACTGCCTAAGAGCAAACAGGTTTATGCCCTTTGGGAATGGGATTTTCATATTTATACTGATTCTTCGAAACAGCTCTTGTTTAGAAAACAAATCTCATTGGATGGACTTACAGCCTTATCAGAGTTTTCTTCTTAAGGTCTAATTTAGAGCCAGCCAATGTATTCCTTTTATTCCAGTTATTCATCTCATTATACTAGATGAAACATCTATAAGTTGTCCAATAATGGCTCTATAGATTTAGTAACTTGTATTTGCATCATAGAATAGAACCACTTTCTTAAGATTTATATGAATATTCCTAGATTTTTTTTCAAAACTACCTTTCCAAACTGTGTTTCTTTTTTAGCATTATGCTTTGAGTTTTGACTTAACCTTTTTGCATAGGGGATGCTCTTAGACTCTTAACAGTATTTCTGAGACATTAATGTCAGTCTCCCCCGAGTTAGAATTATGTGTTTTCATCCTCATTGCTGCCTCCTGTATGGCTGCTACCTTTCTCTGTATCTTTTTACCATCCCTCACTAGATCTTAGCTTCCAGAAGTCATCAGGGTGGGAATATGGAATTTATGTCGAGCTGATCTTGAGGTTAGATACACACAGTTCTGGCCTCAAAAAGACACAGCAAACAGTGTGCCCTCCTTGCTGTGATGAGACAGCAGGAATATCAAGACATGGGACACAGACAAACATAATCACACACACACGCATGCATATGCACACACAATCACACACATGCACACGCATATAGTCATACTCATGCATACATGCATACATGATCACACACAAATACTCATGCATACTCACATGCTGAAACATGTGTGTTCACATATACATACACAATCTCACACATATATTCACACACATACATGCATGCACATACATAATGCATATACAGAAAAACATTCACTCACAATTTCACATATGAATGCCTACATGATCACACAAGCACACATACATTTTATGCACACATAGCCACATACACTCACTTACACGTGCATGTGCACTTTTGACAAATGAATACTTTGTGTAAGTGGTATTTTCTCTAACATATATCATTCACTTTTTCATTCCTTAAAGCAGTGCCCTGAAATTACAAAGCCACCCTCTCTCCTCTTCCAGTTTGAAGAAATTGGTGTTCACAATAATAGAGAAACTTAGAACATCTCTCATGGGCACTCAGAGCTACTTCTCTCTCTCCTTGGGCTGCAAACTTAGATATAAAGACATGCAGGATAATCTGGCTAAAGTTCAGACTCCAATAATGGCAACAAATGCCATAAGGGTACATGGGGTGCTAACTGAAAGAGAATCCATTACTATAATTACTATAATTCCATTTCACAATTGTATACTTTTGTACTGCATAGGAATCCTTCAAAAAAATCCTTTGGGTCTTACTGTTCAATAAAGAGATTTTTATATTTCTCACATCAGTATGGCTTGTACCTGAAATTACTCTCTGTATAAATATCCCTTCTGTGTGATAGACAAGATTTATAACCATGAGGTGAATGCCAACCAATATTTAAAGCCATTCCTATCTACATTAGTTATAAGAATACAAGAACACCAAAGAAAATCAGTGGAATTTAAGAAATGCTCAAAAGAGCACTTTGGGTTCATTCAGAAGAACCCTGCCTTTCTGCCTTAAGTCATCTGTTAGGTGCCATGAAAATCTGGAATGTAGACAAACATCATCATAGTAAAATTCTTAAGCCGCATATGAAGCCTTCAATGCAAGGTTTGTTTCCAAAAGAAGAGAAAGAACACACAAGATAGAAAGTACACAACGAACATAAATTATAGGTGTAATGATGTCTATGAGTAGGTAGGTCTATACATTTGATTTTCCCATTAAATTCCAGGGGGTGCTGCCCTGAGAACATATAGGCTTAAAGAAGAGAAGAGACTGGTGTTATTTCTAAATTACCTCTTTTTTCTGCCCAGGTAAATTACAGGAAAAAAGCCATTACCTCTGAAATCATAAGTTTCAGGAGAAAGATGAGGAAATTAATATATCATCTGTAAGTTTTAGACAAATTATCCTAAATATGCTGCTCATGGCATTATCCTCAACTGGAATGCTCTTCAGAATACAGTGCAAGGTATGTCCAAGCACCACGGGTGACATAATGTCCTTGTTCAGCCCATGATTAGGAACATTTCTACTTTCTGCCAAAAGTGACGAAATCCTAGCCCAAGATCAACATGAGTCAAATGCCCTCCATCCAAGGATAGAGAGAATTTGGTAACAGCTATATATTCATGAAGAGATGCTGCATATAAATTAGATTCTGCCAAGTTAACAACCTGGGAATGAGTGAAATATTTCGTGATTGATTAACACATGAGTTAGGAGCACCACTGAAGGACTAACTGGTGCTTAGTGTCTGAAAGAGACGGCGCCTGGTTGATTCCCAGAGAGAAGCTCAGTTACAAAATGTTTCCACATCAACTGTCAGTAACTCAGGGGATATTGTTAGTGTGTCCTCGGGGAAAGTGCCCATATGAGAGGCAAGCCCAGTCTTTATTTGCATGTATCCTATTATTTACAGATGAAACTATAGATACTTTCAATGATATTTGAATCACTTTATATTTCTTGACATAAGGACATGCATTATTATGAAATTATGTATCTGAATAGCATGCTGCAAAACAAACTGTGCCTTTTAAGAAATTTAGCTATGTTGGAAACCACCCTTTGCATGTTTAAATAACTTCATAAATATCAAGATAATTTCCTATTATACATGAACATCAGACACCTAAGGTGTAGGTCCAAGCCATATCTAAACCAGAATTGTCACCACACAGCCACACTACATGTGTGTCCACATAGCATAAAGTGAGCTGGACATGTGCCCTGGAAATGGTTTTTGTTTTTATTCAGGGTGTTGTTATCAATGTAAAGCATCTGGATGAGATGCCCACTAAGCTCTAAAACCAATATTTTTTTTCTTGTCCTTTTTTCTAAACAGAGCTTTTGGAACCACATTGCATGGGAAAGCCACAGCAGATGGGTCCTGAACTAAATCTAGGTGACCAGAAGAAAAATGCTTCTTTGTTCATCAAAGGAACTGACATCAAAGGAAGTCAGCCTTTCTTCCCTGCCTTAGAAAGGGGCTGTATTTGCTTACTCGATTCTTTTGTACTCCATCCCTACAACCTTGATGCTTCCACTGACCTGGGTGGCAGACCCAGTCTGCATCTTATGACCTCAGACCATGAGATTTCTAAAAGTTTGTTAAAAATTCTATCTTTCCATGTTAGACTTCAGTACTAATCTGAGTTAACCCGAGATCATTAAACTCTTCTCTTCCTGAAGAACTGTAAGAAGACATCTCCACGACTAGTCATACTGGTTTATTTAGCCCATCAACATCCCTCATGTAAGCAGGATCCTGAACTGTATTTCTGACTCTACTAGTGCTCTGTCGCTCCATCCTCATCTTAATTGGAAAGCAGAAGTCCCTGAAACACCGCTTGAAGTTTTCATCAAGAAAGGCATAGAGAATGGGGTTCAGACTGCTGTTGGTGTATCCCAAGGCAATGCAGAAATAATAGCTGGAGAGGGCAGCTGTGCTGTGAGAGGCATTCCCCAGAGCTTCCACAAGGATGAAAATGTGAATGGGTGTCCAACAGATGATAAAGACTGCCACCACCACAAGGACCAGCCTGGTGATCCGACGAAGGTTGCGATCTTTCTCTCGGGAGCCAGAAAGGAGTCGGACACTCTTCAAACGTAGGATCATCAAGGTGTAGCAGATGATGATGATGAGGACAGGGATCACAAAGGCAAAGATGAAGACACAGATCTTCATGAAGAGGTCCCACCAGGAGTAATCATCATCTGGGAATTGCAAGGAGCACTCGATGACATCCACGTCTAAACAAGGTGAACAAAACAAACAGAAGCACAAAAAGAAAATCTATTCTTATTATTGTGGCTGCAAAATATTCTAAAAGTGAGTTTTAATATGTTTGGGTACAAAAGTCCAATTATGGTAAGATGACAGTACCTGAAACAGCCCACCAAATTAGGAATGGATGCTGTATATATTAACCAGACTATCTGTGCTTAGATCAATGAAGCTAGAAAGTCACCATTTATTGGTAATGTATACAATGCTATGGAATACATAAAGCTAGCTAGCAATATAAATTATGTAGTTGTGGAAACCAGTTTGATATGGATGACTTTCAGAAGAGCTAAATTGGTAATTTATAGCATTAAGCCTTACTTGTATTTCCATTAATTAACAATTGTCCCAGACCTATAGCTCTGGCAATAAAAGCTAGTATCTATTTGTAATAAGTGACTAAATATTTCAAATCTAGCCATTCAATTTAACAAAAACCAACTTTTATGAAAAAAATCAAGTGATTTACAAAAAATTACTATTTGGGACAGTAAAAATTTATATAAAGTGTGTCTGGTCGGCATGGGTGGCTCAGTGGTTTAGCACTGCCTTCAGTCCAGGGCGTGATCCTAAGACCCGGGACCGAGTCCCATGTTGGGCTTCCTGCATGGAGCCTGCTTCTTCCTCTGCCTGTGTCTCTGCCTCTCTCTCTGTGTCATGAATAAATAAATAAATAAATAAATAAATAAATAAATAAATAAATCTTTAAATATGACCCAGGAATTGTGACTTAATGGAATTGATTGACTAGAGGGTGTTGTTGAGACATGAGTAAACTTTTGGAGAAGGAGAAAGAGGAAGAAAAGGAAAGAAAAAAAACAGAATAAGGAAAAGGAGAAAAAGGAGGAAGAAAATCATGCTCATTAGCACTATCATCAAGAAAATTCATAAATGAAACAGATTTTTCATTTTTTAACAACACTATGTAATGGACAAAACAAATATTTTATATGATTACTTGACTTGGAAAACTGTGTATTTGCTCTGCTTCTCTTTGATTGATAGTATTCCCTTTGTAATGACCTTCATATTGGAAAGAGCAGAGATCAAAAAGAACAGAGACCCAGGATAAGCACTTTTATGACACTTCATTGAGAGCCTGCTCACCACTGTGGGGGGCTCCCTTTCTCCCCAAGCATCAGCCAGCCCACATTTTTCCCCTTCCCTCTGAGCAGTCATTGAGCACAGACCAGGCAAACTCTTTGTCCTGATCCTTCTTTACAGGTAAAGTAATCATGGAAAATAATAAGAATAAAATTTTTATAATGACAATATTTTCTTCTGATATTGGGAAAATCCACTTCAAAAATAGAACAAGATTTTTTTTAAGTAGTGAAACAGCTCTATTTGTGTTTTTTAAACATTTTAATGTGATTTTGGTCAAATATCTCTTAGTAAAAACAAAATATATCATCTTATAATTTCAATTAGGCATACTGTAAAAAAGAATATAATCATTTTGGCCAATTAATAAAGATGATTATCTTATAAATATATCTTTTATCAACTAGATACCAGATCAAACCTTTCATTAGTAAACACAAACTTCCAGAATAACTCGATTTTTTGATTCTCTAAAAAAAATAAATAATTGTTTAAAGTACTATTACATGAAGACTATTAGAAACAAGCAAGCATCTCTTTTAATTTCTGCTTTTAGTGTTTATGGGAATACTAAGAGTTAAAATCATTTTTAAAAAATCATCACTATTATCATTGATAAAAAAGCATTTATTAAACAGCTTTTGACAGGTACACATTGAAAAAAATCTGAATTTAAAAAACATACTAATCTAGATTTGATTTGTCTATTGAATCTAGTGAAGATAGGGAACACATCTAGTTTTGTTTTGTCTTTTCCATGCTTTACTTTTGTATATTTCAACATTGTCTCTTTCTGGAGGTTGGCCTCAGCTTAAATGCCACATCAGAGACATTCATACAGCTTCTGATCCATTTGAATAGTCCTCACCCTTGCAACTTATTTTCTCTCTATATATTATATTTACCTTATTTTAAAATCATTATATAATGACAGAAGCTAGACAGAAGCTCTTCTGCAAAAATATGTTACCCTTCCTGACATTTTTCTCTCCATCCAGAATCAAACTACCATAGGGTGGATACCCAGCTTGCTTTATCCAATATATAATCCCTGCTACATAGGGTGGCAAGAACATAAGATACTTAAGGAATATAAATCCTTAAATAAGAACATGAGGTGCTTCAGGAGTACAAATTGTTAAATAAGTGAATAAATGAATACCACATGGAAACCCTTGAAAATGGATACTGATTACAGTAGTTATTATGGAAGAGCAATCTGCTAAGATAAGTAAGGCAATATAAGAGCTGATGTTTAATCAGCTTCCTCTTGAACAAATTGTCTTTCATGTAGTAGGAGCTCAATAAATATTTGCTGAATGGGCAAAATAAACTACCACTACTTTTACAAGACCTTGGAAAGCATTCAGTGTTAGAGTTAGAAATATCCTCCAGATATGCCAATGAAGCTAAGATTATACCAACAAAGAGAAAAGAGAGTACTGAGGCAATCATCAAGGAAATTCAAGTCAACATGTACCATTTCTATTAAATGTTCTCTTTCAGGAAAAAGGGTGCATCTTTAGCTTTAATGACACACATAGGTTGAAAGTGAGGATAGAAAAATATATTCCATGTGAATATAAATCAAAACAGAGCAGAAGTAGCTATACTTATATCAGACAAAACTGGCTTCAACTTATAAACTGTCATAAGAGCCAAAGAAAGTCACAATATAATGATAAAAGAGCCAAGTCATCAAAAGAATGTAACAATTATTAAATATATATATATATATATATATATATATAAATGCTTGAGTTGAATGACAAAAGAATTACAATATACCAGAACTATGGGATGTAGCAAAAGCCATTCTTAGTGAAGTTTATAGTGATAATCACCTACATTAAAAAAAAATCTCAAATAAATAACCTAACTTTACATATTAAGGAACTAAAAAAAAAAAAAGAACAAAGTCCAAAGTTAGTAGAAGGAAGGGAATAATAAAGAACAGAACAGAAATAAATGAAGTAAAGACCAGAAAAATAGTAGAAAAAAATTGGTTTTTTGAAAAGATAAACAAATCCAAACTCTTAGACTAAGAAAAAAAAGATATAAGACTGAATGAAAGAAAAGATATTAAAACTGATAACACAAAATACAAAGGATCATAAAAGACTACTATACACAATTACATGTCAACAAATTGGATAAGCTAGAAGCAATTGATAAATTCCTAGAAACATACAACCTATAAGACTGAATTATAAGGAAATCTAAAAATATGATAGACTAATAACAGATAGATTGAGACTACATAAGAAAAAAAAAAAGACTACTACAAAGAAAAACCAAGTGCCAGATTGTTTCACTGGTGAGTTTGATCAAGCATTTAAAAAGGATATCAATCTATTGCAAGCTTTTTCAAAAGTTGAAGAAGGTACGCTTCCAAACTCATTTTACAAGCCAGAATTACCCTGATAGCAAAACCAGAAAAGGGCACCACAATATCTCTGATGAACAGACATACAAAAGTCCTACTACACTAGCAAACCAAATTCAATAGTACATGAAAAGAATCATATATCATAATCAAGTGAGATTTATCCCTGGAATGCAAGTATGGCTCACAAATCAAACAATGTGATATGTCACATTAATAAAATGAAAGATTAAAAATCATAAGATCATCTCAATAGGAAACCTTTGACAAAAATCCAACGTGTATTCAGGATTAAAATTCTCAACATGGTCAGTATAGAAGGAATGTATCTCAGTGTAATAAAGGCCATATATGACAAGCCCAGAGGAACACCCTGCTCAACAGTGAAAGATTGAAAACTTTTCCTCTAACATCAGGAACAAGGCAAAGATACTCACTCTCACCAGTTGTATTCAACATAGTACTGGAAGTCTTAGCCAGAGCACTTAGGCAAGAAAAGAAATAAAAGGCATCCAAATCAGACATAAAATTGTTTGGAGATAACACAGTCTTATGTATAGAAAACCCTAAAACTCCACTAAGACACTATTAGAAAAAACGAATTCAGTATAGTTGTAGAATTCAAAATCAGGGGATCCCTGGGTGGCTCAGCAGTTCAGCGCCTGCCTTTGGCCCAGCACGAGATGCTGGAGTCCCGGGGTTGAGTCCCACATCGGGCTCCCGGCATGGGAGCCTGCTTCTCCCTCTGCCTGTATCTGTGCCTCTCTCTCTCTCTCTCTCTCTCTCTCTCTGTCTCTCTGTATATATATATATGATATATATATATAATATATATATCATATATATATATCATGAATGAAAAAATCTTTAAAAAAAAGAATTCAAAATCAATAAACAAAATCAGCTGCATTTCTATACACTAACAATAAGCTATCTGAAAAACAAATAAAACAATACCATTTATGTTATCAACAAAAAGAATAAAACACTTAGAAATAAATCTTTAAATAAATCTAAAATATCTGTATATTGATAACTGTAAAACATTGAAATAAAAGGAATTTAAGAAGATACAAATAAATAGAAAGATATTGTATGTTCATGGATCAGGAAAAATAGCATTGTTAAAATGTCTATACTACACAAAACTATGTACAAATTCAGTGCAACCTCTATCAAAACCCAATGGCACTTTTCAATGCAATAGAAAAAAATAATTCTCAGGGGTTCCTGGGTGGCTCAGTTAGTTAAATGTACAACTCTTGATTTCGGCTCAGGTCATGATCTCAGGGTTGTGATATTGAGCTCTGTGTCCACAATGAGTGTGGAGCCTGCTTAAGATTCTCTCTCTTCCTCTCCCTCTGCTCCTCCCCACCCTGAACTCACTTTATCTCTCTCAAAAAAATAAAAATAAAAAAAAGAAGAAGGAAAGAAAGAAAGAAAAAAAGGAAGGAAAGAAAAGAAAGAAAGAAAGAAAGAAGAAAGAAAGAAAGAAAGAAAGAAAGAAAGAAAGAAAGAAAGAAATCTTAAATTCATATGGAACCACAAAAGACTGAACAGTTAAAGTAATCTTAAGCAAGAACAAAGCTGGAAGTATCACACTTCCTGATATCAAATTATATTACAAAGCAATAATAATCAAAACAGTCTGATGCTGGCATAAAAAACAGACACATATTCTAATGGAATGGAAGACAGAGGCCATAAATAAACCCACACATATGCTAGTCAAGAAATCTTCAATAAGGGTACCACAAATAGAAAATGGGGAAAGAATAAGTTCTTCAATAAATGGTGCTGGTAAAATGGGGTATCCACATGCAAAAGAATGAAATTAGGCCTTATCTTACACCATCCATAAAAATCAACTGAAAATGATTAAAGACTTAATGTAAATAAAACCATAAAATTTCTAGAAGATAACATAAGGGAAAAGCTTCTTGATACTGGTCTTGGCAATAATTTTTTTTGGATATGATACCAAATGCACAAGCAATAGAACCAAAAATAAATGAGTGAGATTATGTCAAACTAATTCGAACTAAAAACAACAACAACAAACAAAAACAAACCCAAAACAAACCAAAAAACTTCCTGCACAGAGAAAGAAACAACCAACAAAATGAAAAGGCAACATACAGAATGGAAAAAAATATGCAAATCATGTATCTGATAAGGGGTTAATATCTAAAATATATAAGGAAATCATATAACTCAATAACAGAAAAGCAAATAACCTGATTTAAAATGGACATAGAACTGAAATAGACATTTCTCCAAAGAAGACATACAAACTACCAACAGGATTATAAAAAGGTGCTCAACACCACTAATCATCGGAGAAGTGCCAATAAAAACCACAATGAGATATCACCTCATACCTGCTAGAGTGGCTATTATTAAAAAAAAAATTGTTGGCAAGGATGTGGAGAGAAGAGAACTCCTGTTGGTGGGAATTCAAATTGATGCAGCCACTCTGGGAAACAGTATGGAAGTTCCTCAAAAAGCTAAAAATAGAACTATCATATAATCCAGCAATTCCATTTCTCAGTATATATCCAAAGGAAATGAAATCAATATCTTGAAGATATCGGCACTCTCATGTTCACTGCAGCATTATTTACAATAGCCAAGATATGTAAAAAAAAAAAACCACCACAAAATGTCCACCAATGGATGAATGGATAAAGAAAATGTGGTATACAGTGTGTATATACATACACACAATGGAATATTATTCAGGCTTTGAAAAAGAAAGAAATCCTGCCATTTGTGGCAACATGGATAGACCTGGTGAAAATTATGCTAAATTAAATAAGCCAGACACATAAAAACAAATACTATATGATCTCCCTTATACATGGAATCTAAAATAATCAAACTCATAGAAGCAGAGAGTAGAATTGTTGTTTCCAGGAACTTGGGGTAGAAGGGATGGGAAGCAGTGGTCAAAGGGTACAAATTTCAGCTCTGCAAGTAAGTAAGTTCTATAGATCTACTATGCAGCAGAGGTTTTATAGCTAAGCATGCTGTACTGCATACTCAAAGTTTGCTGAGAGTGTAGATCTTATGTTAAATTTTCTTATTACACAAGAAAAATAATAATAAACCGGGCAGGAAGAAACTTTAGGAGGTGACAGAAGTCTGTGGTCTTGATGAGGTGATAGTTTCACAGATATATATTTATCTCAAAACTCACTGAGCCGTTCACATTAAATAATCACAGCAGTTTGCACATCCACCATAATAAAGTGATTTTTCTACAAAGTAGTCTTTTTCTTTTGTATCAGTATTTGAAGGCCCTAGCTTTCTGTGGCACATGTTCTAATGTCTCAAGGCTGTTGTAATTATAGAGTTTGCTCTAATATCTAAACTTGAGTTTTCTTTGTATTCTTTTTGTTAAGAATAATTCTGTTCCTATTGTAGCCATTACAGTAACTTAGTGATTATAATAGTAGTAATAAGCAGACTGTGAATTTCTTGCTTTCCATGTACTGACTAATTAGATCTGGAAAACTCCTAGGAGGTAGGCACTATTATTTATCGCTATTTTGCAGATGAGGACATTGAGGCATCTAAGTAATGTCTCCAAAAGGATCCTGTCCATAAATCATGAAATCAAGATTCAATTCCAGGCAGTTTGCTTCCAGAATCTGAGCCCTTAACCAAAAAGAAACCGGAAAGAAAATCAGAGGCATTAGCTGAAATTTCTCATCCAGGTGGATATGTTCTAATGCAATTGATGCCTGATTTCCTTCACTGAGCATTCTCCACAAACACAACACTTTAAATTACCACTGTCATTCAGCTCTGATTCAGGAGATTATCTAAAACACTCCTCTTGGTGATCCAAGAGTCTTGATGGGGAGTGTCATCCAGCCCTCAAAAATGAGCAGACTAGATGGTTCAGAGACAGTCTTTCATTACATAAGCAAAATCTGCTTTAGAAAATAAAAGAAACAAAGAAAGAAGGAGCCCTCCTACAAGGCTACCTTAATTTTCTCCCACTCTCCCCTCTATTTGTTGCACAAATTAATCTCCCGACACTGGTGGATCCTTTCTTCCATGGCATTAGCACACATTCATCTACAGGAAAACCTACATCTATCTTCTTCTTTTTCTTTTTTAAGATTTTATTTATTTATTCATGAAAGACACAGGCAGAGAGAGAAGCAGGCTCCATGCAGGGAGCCGGATGCGGACTCGATCCTGGGACTCCAGGATCATGCCCTGGGCTAAAGGCAGGTGCTCAACTGCTGAGCCACCCAGGTGCCCCCTACATCTATCTTCATATCCTCTTTCAAAAACTGAATTGGAATTCATTGTTTCTAGGATGTCATTTTCTGACGATGATTAGAAGAGTGTAGTGGTTAAGTCTGTAAGTATGTGAAATATCAAAATCAATCAATTCTTTATTTGCCCTGGGGAAAATTGCCATCCTCTTTTATTATTTAGCCCATTCTTCTAGTCCTCATGGTGCAAATGTAGCCTGTCCTCTTGAATTCAGCTATTAAGCATCAACACCCTAGGGTCAGAAGGGTTTCTTGCAACTTTATTTCCATTTGTTGAATGCGCGAAGAAAGGAAATCCTGTGTGTAATCATATTTCAAAATGCTTCTCTGATAAAGTTTGGCATATTTTAAAATTTAGCCAGTATTATAGCTTAACACCTTCCACGGCTGAGCTGGAAATTCATTTTAGAGTTTAAGAGGGAAAAGATTGTCTATCATTACAAACTGGACCATGATAGATAAGCTGATTTTATTTAGCACCTGCTTTTTCTATGATCTGGAAGATCCCTACTATACCCATTCAATTACCTGTATTTATAAGTATCATGAGCTTCCTTAGTAAACTTAGTAAACTAGAGAATTTAGAGAACTGCTGCAGCAATAAACAGCATTTATAAAGACCAAAGTGACAGATCTGTTCCCCTCTTCCAAGTGAATTTCCATCAGGACTGAAGATATTTTCATAGTTTTACTTTTACTAGTAAAGCAAAGCTGCTGGAACAGTAGTTCTCACCCTGGCTGCAGGTCAGTCACCTGAGGACATCTTAAAAACCTTGACACCCAGGGGTGCCTGGGTGGCATAGATGGTTAGGTGTGTGACTTGGTTTCGGCTTGGGTTTTGGGATCAAGCCCTGCATTGGGCTCCACATTCAGCATAGAGTCTCCTGGGGCTTCTCTCTCCCCCTTGTTATGCTTTCTCTCTCTCTATCATAAATAAATAAATCTTTAAAAAAATCTTGATACCCAAACTGTGCCTCAGGTCAATTAAACCAGACCTTTGAGGGGTGGGACCAGGCAGCAGTACAGTTGACCCTTGAACACCATGGGTTTGAGCCACACGGGTGCACTTATACACGGATTTTTTCTTATAAGTGCAGTACTATAAATGTATTTTCTCTCCCTTATTATTTTCTCAATAACATTTTCTTTTCTCCAGCTTACTTTATTGTAAGAATACAGCATATAAACATGTAATATACAAAATACGTGTTAATCAACTGTTTATGATATCAGTAACCCAGTCTCTGGGTCAACCGTAGACTATTAGTAGTTATGTTTGGGGAGTCAAAGGTCATACATGGATTTTTGACTGCATGGGGCTGGTGCCCACCACTATTCAAGGATCATTTGTATTTTCTGAAGTGCCCAGGTGATTCCGACATGCAGTCCAGGGTGAGAACCATTACCCTAGAAATACTGGGAAAACATCAAATATCCTGTTAGCATTAGTTAAGAACTAGTATAGTATATTCAGAATCCAAATTTTGCTCACGGGTACTATTGTCTATCTGTAAACCCAATTCTTTATGGCCTATGCCAAACGAAGTTGTTACAATGGTGAAATGGAGATTAACCCCTAACGCACAAAACTGTTGTGTTTCTCATCTTCCATGGATTTAGGCATTACGTTCCCACTGCCTTTTAGTTTTTCCCTTAGATATGTGTCCTACTCACTTGCAAATTAAGAATTGCATAATTAGAAGTAAGGTTCTTAAAAATGAGATGAAAATGACTGCCCTTACCTTCCCTGACTTTGGTCCCTCCAAGAACTATTGCAGATATGCCAACAGATGACGATAAGAGCCAAATACAGATGTTGATGATCTTTGCCTTCATGGGTGTGCGAAAGTCTAAAGCCTTGACAGGATGGCACACAGCAATGTATCGGTCCACACTCATCATGGTCAAGGTGAATATGCTGGTAAACATGTTATAATAATCAATGGAAATGACTATCTTGCACAACACATCCCCAAATGGCCAGGAATTCATCAGATAGACCGTGCTCTGGAAGGGCATGGTTGTAGTAACTAAAGCATCCGCCAACGCCAGGTTAAATATATAAATGTTGGTTGCTGTCTTCATCTTTGTGTATCTAAAAGACAAGAAATAAGATCATTTCTCTTCATCTTTGTGTCAAATCCTTGAGGTAAACATGTTTGTGACAACCTTTGACTTACTGAATTTGTTTTTCTAATTCATTTATTCTTTGCGTACTTATTGAGCATTTAATATGTAAAAGGACTGTTCTAGATCCTAAGGGTAGTAGAAAAAATGGACAAAAATCTCTGACTTAACTTAGCTTTTGTTCTAGTACTTTGTTCAAAATATATTTAAATTTAAAAAAGGTAAAGAAAATAACAGATAAATATATGAATATATATATATATACAGATCTTTTTGACAGACTTGCTCATAATACAGGTCTTTATTTTGTGACTGACAATTCATTTTAATCCTATCTGGCTTTAAGCATTTTTTACATACTTTATTACTTCCCTTTCACTGCATAAAACAAAGATAAAGCTTCCTCAACTTTCCCTCGGGGTCATTTTGAGAAATCCATCATTGTAATTACGTCTTTTGAAAATTTGAAATGTGTTTCACTTTTAAAACACATTCAATTTCAATTGCTAAAACACAACTAAGTTTGTTGGTTTTTGTTTGCCAGTGTGCCTTTAGTTTTTCATCTTAAGTGCATTATGTAAATGATGCTAAGCTCTTCCTTATACACATCACAACACGAAATGTAATCTAGAACAGTAGGTGAGAAATAACTCAGTTTTTCTATACTCTCATCTTGAGAGATTTTTAAAGCACGTAAGCTGTTTCCTCTTCCAAACGAGGGGACAGTAATTTTCAAAAGAGGTCAAAAAGATTGCCTTTAAACCCAAATTTAAAAAAATAATAAAAATAAACCCAAATTATTCTTTGCATTATAACATGAAGTTTAGAACAATTCCACTCTCAACTAAAACTGAATTAAGAGGATTGGTTTACTTAGGGAATGCCCCCTCAGGGATCTATAGGGCATGAAGCATCCCAAACAGTTTCAGCAGGTTTTCAGAGGCCAAATGCTAAGATATGTATGGGAAATCTATGTTAATTACTTTCTACACACCTCAGATTTGTAGACTTTATCGTAATTAATTCAACCATACCCCTATGGTATGGCTTTGATTGTCACTAAAGGTCATTTTTAAAGAGCTGTCTTATAGAAAACTACTGCTTTCACTATAAAATCCACCTCAATGCTTATTATTGATCACTGCTAGAGTGTCTTTTCAATACATCAATTTCCATGAGAAATGTCTTTTAACATGTAGTGACAAACAGCTTTGGCTCTCCAGGGAGGCAGAGTTGTCTTCCATGAAGTCAGATCATCCTCAGTCTGGATTCAGTATATGACTTTTCTGAGTTTCAGGTCCTGTCACATAAAGATAATAAAACCAAATGGCTGTATCCGAGATAAATGCAGCAGGTGACCTGACTCAAAATGTGTGACACATAGGATCACTCTCAGCGTCCCTCTCACCCTCCCCCCAAATTCTCCCCTTCTTCTTTTCTTCTTGCTAGGAAATGGTTTGTCTGTGCATGGATGAAGGCATGGTATAGAATAGCACAGAGTCGGTATCTGTCGATTTCCATTTTGATGCTCTGCTATCTAAACAGTGCTTTAATCTGAAGAATGAGGAGTTTATTTAACAATATGTTATCTTTTACCTTTACAGATTTCACTCACATATTATTAAGTGGCCTATAAGCTTTAGAAAGTGATTAAATGTGGGATGCCTGGGTGACTCAGTTGGTTAGGCATCGGCCTTCGGCTCAGATCATGATCTCAGGGTCCTGAGATAGAGCCCCATGTCAGGCTCCCTGCTCAACAGGAAGCCCTCTTCTTCCTCTCCCTCTGCTCCTCCCCCTTGCTTGTGTGCTCTCATAAATAAATAAATAAATAAACAAAAACAAACAAACAAAAATAAGTGATTAAATGTATATGGCCAATGCTCAGAGCATAGGCTTTATAAAGGCACAGATAACTAGGGAAGTCCACTTACTGAGACGGAGCAAATGTTTCCAATGAGCAAGACTGAAATGCTATCTTTTCAAATGTTGGCTCCTTTAATATGGTTTTATGTTTGAAAAGTTCATCTTACAAGCCAATCTCCTATTTTTTTCAACTTTCTCCCCAAGAATCTCTGATATAAGCAAAGATTGTAGTCGGCAGAGACTTGGACTTCTGCAGTCACATTTAGTGACCCTTACTTTATGAAGTAAGGTCCCCTCTTATTTTATGAAGTTAGATGGATGTTCCCGGCCTTATATAGTTGTGTAAGCCAGGGTTCCAGTCCTTATTTTTCCCTCCAGCTGTTAGATTTTGGAGAGGTCACTAAAAATGGAACTTCAGTTTCTCAACTATAAAATGGGAAATATAATGCTTACCTCTAGAACTCCTGAGATAATTGATGGAATCCTCCTAATCCCGAGAATATGTCTAATTTATTTTATAGTCTTCAACTCCTCCCCTTCTCTTATGTATGTGGGAGCGATCAGTTACCACAAGAAGAAAAAAGGAACCTAGTTTTTAGTTAGAGCCACGGTTCAGCTTGAATATGAAAGATAATAGTAAAAATGATGCCTGCGACCTTACATGCTAGAAGAACGTGAATGGTATGAAATATGAGGTATGATAAAATATAATATGCATCTTTATCAAGAATAGCCAAATTATGAAGAGTCCACGTGTCCATCGACTGACAAATGGATAAAGGAGCCTTGGTATGTATATACAATGGAATATTATTCAGCCATCAGAAAGGAGGGAATCTTGCCATTTGCAGGGATATGGAGAGAGCTAGAGTGTATCATGTATGCTAAGAAAAATAAGTCAGTCAGAGGAAGGCAAATATCACATGATTTCACTCATAAGTGGAATTTAAGAAACAAAACAAATGAACATAGGAGAAGGGAAAAAAAGAGAGAGGAGGCAAACCATAAGAGATTCTTAACTATAGAGGACAAACTGAGGGTTGCTGGAGGGGAGGTGGACAGGGAGACGGCTAGATGGGTGATGGGCATTAAGGAGAGCACTTGTTGTGATGAGCACTAAGTGTTGTACATATGTGATGAATCACTAAACTCTACACCTGAAATCAATATTACACTATATATTAACTAACTAGAATGTAAATTTAAAAATTGATGCAAATTACATATATATAATATGCATCTTTAAGTAATCAAAAAATGATGAGTGATTTTTCTCTTAGCCTTTCAAAACTACTTTTAACAAATAAATGTATGAAATTACTTAAGGCTTGAACTTAGAAAGAATTCAAACCTGTCATCAAATCTCAGAATAACAGAGATAAGTTCCTATAACAAAAATGTCTACAAATTACACTAATTTTACTATACTAATTGGAGCAAAAGTTCTTGCTCCCAGAGAAATAAGCTCTTCCCAGACCATTCATGTAGGAGCCTACCACTGTCACCATCGCTCAGGGTCAGAGACACCTACCAGAGACCTAGAGACATACATACCTGTGCCTTCCTGCCATGGAGACCCCTGGATCTGCCAGCATCTCTATGTCACAGCATCACTCTCATTTTGAGATGGTTCATGTTAATGATGACAATCTTAGTAACCATTTATTTCAAACCCTCCCTCTGTCAGACTCCGATGTACATCCCACATATTTATCCCATTCAGTCTCCATTGCAACTTCATCTGGTAGGTATCAGTATTCCTTTTCTACAGAAGTCACCACTGAGAATCACTGGAGTTATGTGCATTTCTCAAAGTGATACGGTTATAAAAGCATTGCAAGACTCAAACTTGGGTGCTGGGTGCCACTTTCTGCATTCTTAAACCCTCCCAGCACTCTATAATTTACAAAGGCCAGTGCTTTGATCTCCATGTATTTTATCTGATTCTCACGACAACTGCTCCTCATGTTTAGCCAGGAGATTTATGTCTTCTACCTAATATTAGTGAAGTGAGTTAGACTCAGGTGAGTAAAGTGATGTTTCTAGTGTTGGCAAAGGCTCAGTGGAACCATCTGGAAGGGGTGGCAGGGCAAGGCCTCTCTCCTAGGGTTTTGGAAGACACATACTTATAAACCTACCACACCAAAATAGAGAACCGACAGGCATAATTCAAAGTAGTGAATAAACTATGAGTACAACAAATATTTACTGACAGTCTTTTATATACTACAGTGGACTCTCACAGTGGACCTGTGAGAGTGTGATAATAAGACCCTCACCCTCAAACTGTCTGGTTGAGCACTCTGGTATTGTTAGCATTTAATCAAACTGAGATAGTAGCTAGTCCTTTCAGTCAAATGTCCCCTGAGGGAAAAAAGTAAGCTTTCTTAGTATGATAAGATATGAAATTATTTTCCACTTCATCCACCCTGCCTTACAAAAATTTTTAAGTATTTCAAGTAAAATGGCACCATCTGGGTGGGAAGTTTCGGCTCATATGGAGGTGGGCTGGCAGCAAGTGGTTGCACTTTTTAGCGTACACACCACAGGAGCATATGGCACTAAAAGAGCAAAGTCTGTAAGCTGTCCTTGCTACACTTGTCAATGTTATAAGCCTGCAAATGATGGTAAGGTGTACCAGACAGGATGCAGGGAGCAGGCCAGGAGGAGGCCTAGAGTGCTGAGTCATGAGGAAGGTCATCACTTGGCAACATGGCAGAGGGTATCTCCAGGAATAAGAAATGCTCCCCATTACACAGTAGCACAAGATGTTCCTACTGTATTTCTCTTTACAGAGAATTGAGGGGTGGCTTCTAGATTGGCAGTCATACATGAACAAGGTTGTCTGCTGAGCTGTCAGGAACCAATGTCACCAGGCAGGGTTCCTGGGAGAGCCTGGCACTTGCCACAAGAAAAATGAGGCACCAGCAGGAGGAACATTGACCTTGTGACACAGCAGTCTCACATCTTCTTGTCCTTCCCATGTGCCTGTTGTGCTCAGACACTGTGCAGTAGAAGAGCTCATTCTTGAATTATTAGCATCCCCTGCTCCTGAAGTGCATTGCCTGAGTGCTTTTTTATTTTAAATTTAAATGATATTTCTTT